TTGCTCATTGACAGAACTAGAAACTATTTCAAGAATACCATAATGTACATTTTATACTGCTTATAGGAATTGCTGAAAACTAGCTGAGCCTTAGCATGAGGTAAATATAATCCACAGCACATCTAGACAGTCCACTGCTTTTTCTGCTGGTTGCACACAGGAAATAATGAAGCTTTAGTAAATGAATGGAATTTGCAAAATCAAGGTATTTTTATTTTAATTTGTAAAAAAATAAAACAGACATTTCTTTCATTTACAGATGCAAAGAACCCAACAGAGTAGAGTTGGAGTCGGAGTCAGAGTTGTGGGACCAACTTCTCTGTTGCAGCCCCCACCTTCTGGAAGAGCATCCTTCCAGAGATGTGGGTGCTGCCTTTTCTCCTGGGACTTTGGAAAGCCCTTAAGACCTGGCTTTGGTCCCAGGTCTGGGGTTAATGTGGTTGAGGGGCCTCTGCAGTGGTATTCTGTTATGGCTGCCAGTGTTGCTTTATGTTTTTAAACTCTTTTTATTGTTTGTTGATATTGTAAGCCACCCAGAGTCTGTTGGAGTGGACGGCTATAACAAATATGAATGAATGAATGAATGAATGAATGAATGCAGCTTCATGGAGCATAGCCTTGCTAAGATTTCATACCATTTGGAAATAAGTTAGGCAACAACTCAAAGATATTTCAGTGAAACTATGACAATGGATGTTACATTAATATAATAGACCAAAAAAAGAATAAATTATGCTCCCTACACAAAGGGGTGGAAACAAGGTAGAGTAATGAATAATCGGTGGTGACTGTCAACATTTTATTTGCAATTATTTAACAACTGTGATTGATTGATTGATTGATTGATTGATAGATACAAAATTTTATATACTGCCTAATTCCAAAACTGAGGATTTGGAGTAAATGTTGTGTTATGGACTGTGAGCCCAGTTCAGTTCTGATAGTCAGAAGTTTTTAATTTGATGCTTGTTTTCTTGGTATCTGGCTCTGGCTGGCTGACCTAGAAAAATAACAACAGATCTACAAATCTGAGATCTGTCCTCCCCTATTTTAGAGCACACAATATTTTAATCTATGACCGTATTGCTTTTTTTTAAAGTTGAAGTCATTAAATCTGTCAACAAGAGGTAGTGATATAGTATTATAATCTCAGATTTTGACAATGTCAGTGACTTTTGACCTTTTCTCTTATTATGTGGTCAGCTGTGCTGACCAAAGAAAGCTAAAACTAACCTTTCAGACACAAACTGCAAATAGTGCTTTTCTATTTCATGAGAAATTTACACAAATGCAGAACTCTCCTATATACATTAAAATATTTTATTAAAAAAAAAACAAAGTAAAAGCATATAAATGGTAGATTGAGAAGCACTGCTACTTAATAGAATCGTATTTCTTTGTCATATTTCAGGTAAATTCATTCTAGCTGACCCATTTCTTTTGTGCCTTTAACTAAGATAGTGCATATGACAGCTATTCGAATTGAGGGTAACCAAGTAGTTAATTCATTTTAGTTACTGATAATGCTGCACTTCACTTTTCACTTTTATAACAACATTTTTTAAAAAATGTCTTCTAATAGGATATGTAACTAGAAGCAATATTGAAATCTACATCAGATACAATAGTCTATATCATTTGAATGTTAGTCTCCTTCTATGGACAAAAGGACTTTAAAGGAATGGATATGGAACTGATCTGCTTTTGTTTTAATCATAAACAAAAAAGTTGAATGATTTGCTAAAAACAGCTCTTGGGAACTATGACACACTCACATTAGGAAGTGAATCAATAGTTATTAGCATTTAAAATATAGATATATAGAGAAGGTGCATCGTATTTTAAGATGACAGGGGAAGATTTAAGTTGTCATGGTTAACAACTTAATATTTCCTCTACAACTAAGGGTTATTCTTTTCATATCACTTTTATCATAATCAATTGATTGACATTTGACTATTTATATTTCATCTGTGAGCTCAAATTTTCTTTCTGGATTGCATTTACATAGGTATTAGCCTTTACATTTTCACAGGGAATAGGAATGCATAGGTATCAAGGCAATTATTCACAGGGTTTCTAGGCAGTTTAATCATGCTTTTTAACCAACTCATTTAAAATACATATGTGTATTACCAAAGCCTTGTTGAGATATTGAAGGAAGCATGAGCCAATGTGCAGCGTCCATCACAAAAGCTATCATTCAGATATTAAATGTTTTTTTTAAAAAAGCTTCTTTCAAAATAGCCTCAAAAATTAAACAATCTGAATAATCTTACAGATTAAATAGTTAAATTTCCTTACAGTTTGAGGAACATTGGTTCAAAAGAATCCAAGCAGTAAAACAGTTGAGTTGAGATTCTAGTAAAAAATGTTGAACCTTTTCGAAAGACAGTACAAAATGAGGGAGAGAATGGAAAGCCAGTGTTGTTGGGAAAAGGAAAAGAGCAAAGTTGAAGATGTATTTCAATTGTCCTGGGCATACATTCAGGGTGTCTGAACACCTAGATCCATTCTGAAAAGAATAATATATAATTCCTTTTTATGTCTTCACAATTATTATTTAATAAAATACATTTTCCTTTGTTATCCGCCTATCTGGCATATAAGTAGCAAACAGAATGAACAGCTGATAGTACCTACAGCTTTAATGGGATGAGATGTCTTAGAAACTAAGGTTTATTTTTTAAATGTAGTCATATGGCATTTTTAATTGCTGTAATTCATTGTTATATTACATATTCATTTGGATGGAATGAAAACACTACATCTCAATAGGATTATATTTATGAATGCAATTATATTTGAAATAGTCCTTTGCTAGTAACAGCTTGATCCTGTGAGCATCATTAGCAATCTAATACTACATCTAAACAAAGTTGAACATCTTCTACTCTTTTAAAAAAACAACCACGCAATTATAAGTAAAAAATAAGAACCTCCAGCACAGTGGCCATCTTCTAGAAAATAATGTATACAGATCAGAAATTACTATAGATGTATTCATTTGTAATTCAGTTTCATGAATTTATATCTGACCTCATCCAATTCAGGTGGATGATTTCTATATTTTACATAGAAAAGTGTCAAGCCCAAAGCATAAACTTGCACAGTAATTATATAGCTGCATTGTTTTTAATGAGCTGGAAACATTACTCAAGAGATCACAAAATGTGGGAAATCATAAAAAAACCAATGGATGTATTGCCCCATGTATAAATACTCCAGCTACTAACTAAATCTTATTTCTTTTCAATTGCCACCAAAATAAAATTTATAGTGATAATGGTTTCATTGTGTATGCCTACCAGATTTTTTGTACTGTAAATTATATAGGAATCTAGCCAACAGAAATACAGTTGCCTTTTAAAATTTGCACAGAAATCTATACATACCTCAGTCAAGTAACAAGATCCAAGAGAAAGCTTGTACAATCTCTAGCCCAATGCTTTATCAGTATTTTAAAGAAATCTTTTAGTTATGTAAATTGTAGAGAAATTAAACAACCTATTTCAGTACATCTGATAACTGTTGGCTTAAATAAGAGCAAAATCAATTAGTGAAAGAAACGAGACATTTAACATATTCCTCTATAGATGCCATTATGCAGAATCTCTCTCTCTCTGAAAAAAAGCGGAAAAAATAATTAAGTCGCTGACTCATTCCCACAGACTGCATCCCTAACCAAACTGAAGCCTTAAGAGAATAAAACTTGATTTGCTCACAATCAGTCCTTGCTACTTTGCCTCTCTAACTCTTCCACTGTGCAGTAAGAACTTCTTTTACTCCACAGAACACCATGTACATTGCTTACAGCACTCCAATTAATTAACTGCAGTAAACTATTCTCAAGCAAGAATTACCTTTTGAACTCTGTCGTCAACATGAATATCAGCTTGAATTCTCCATTAGCCCAACACAGATATTGTAAACCATGACCTCTGCCAAACTGCATCAAATTAATTAATTAATTAATCACATTTATATAGCTGTCCATCTCGCGAATGTGACTCTGGGAGGCTTACAGTAAAAACTGACCATCAAAAACAAACATTAAAAATTATACCATAATAAAAACATTAACATTATTAATAAAACCAGGTGAGAGCATCTTTGATATCACATACTGTGATGGAATGGCATGGGACTGGAAAGGGAGTAAAGAACGTGATCTCGTCTCCAGAGCAACGCGCTGGAGATAAGAGGCGAAAGCTGACGCACCCCTAACATTCCAGTTGATAGTGAATTCCTGTTCTTGGGAACTAGCCAGCAGTCTGAGAAGATTTCTGTAAACAAGCACTAGCTAATAAACCTTGCTGATTGAACCTGCACGGTCTCCAGGAGTTCCTTGGGCTAGGCCTGACATCAATCTTCTCAGACTGCTGGCTAGTTCCCAAGAACAGGAATTCACTATCAACTGGAATGTTAGGGGTGCGACAGCTTTCGCCTCTTATCTCCAGCGCATTGCTTTGGAGATGAGATCACATTCTTTACCCCCCTTCCAGTCCCATGCCATTCCATCACACATACAGTGTAGCCATCTCACCAGTTCTCCATTTCCCTAGGATGGCTTACACAAATGCAACTACTTGGGGCTAAGGCCAACAGATCCTTCATTGAAATAAAACACTGTAAAATAAACCAAACAAACATCCATAATTAACATTTATTATTTCAATAAGTTCATAAAGTTGCCTTATTTTGCATATTGCAAGAATTTTTGGAAATCTACAAGATCACCTATGCCATGTTTGAGCAAAAAGGAAGTAGTTGCTGCAGTCTAAGCATGTAATAAAACACAACTGAATCTTTGCAGTGATATGCTATAAAGTAAAATATATCTAGATATATTTATTCCTGAAATAACTTCACCATGAGATTTCAGGCACAAATGTATTACTGTAAAACATTGTTCAAAATGGAGGGGTGTTGATTGCAACTTGTGAAATACCACATCAAGAGCAATGTTTCGGTGGGATTATACAGACTATAACACTTACCTGCTGAGATGTCATCATCAACTAGATCATGTTCCTCTTCTTGAATTTTGGCTTCAGATCCTGATTGTTCAGGACTCACGTTAACAGTCTGAATGGTTTCTGCAGTCACTCCAGCTGAAACATCAAGACACAAAACACTAAATCTATTTGCAATTTTCTTTGAATTAGAAAACATATTTAAACTTCACATTACGTCTTTATCACATTAAATAATCTGAGGGATTAAGATGAGATTTGAAATCCTACAAAAATCAGTGAACTGATGTATCTTTGTCCAGACTTCTTGTAGACGTTGACCTGATTTTACCAAGCTTTCTGAAATGATTTCAAGATTTCTTGGGCTTCTGAATCTTGTCAAGATCTAATTAAGGAACTCAAGTGTGATACAGAACTAATGGCAAACAAAGACAGAACTTCCTGCACAAGGAGCAATGTTCCCATAATCTTATATGCTGGATGGATAAACGTCTATCTTAAAAGGGGTTCACATTTAAGAATAAGAAACGTTATAACTGACAACTGCTTCATCCCCAGTGAAAATCAGTAAATACATAAAAGTGCATTTGTCCTGTTGGTACCTTTGCCTCCCATCTGTTTGTTGTTCCTAACTTGTCCTCCTATCCATCTGTTGCCTCCCTCTATGTGGAAAAAGCATATGGTATGCTTATAAGGGCAGAGGTCTTCAATTAGGGCAGGGGCATGTGAAATGCCCTGTACACTTAGGACACTGTATAATAAGTACAATAATACACTTCGAAACATCATGACAACGGTTGTTGTTGTTTATATTTTACTTCATTAGTAATTTAGTGGCATATAAGGGGTCAGGTTCTTTTTTAAGAGTTCATTTTAAAGAAAAGAGAGGCTATATAAAGATGTGTATCTTGTCAGATTCAGCAGCAAGGCAGATAATATAATATATCCACTGTGAGAGTTAGAGCTGGCAAGGTCAAAACCAAAGGACTTGAGAGCAGACTGATCCATTTCAATAACAATGCATAGGTGCCAACCAACCCTCCCACCTAAAAAGGCATGGGCAGGAGAAAGACAAGGTTTAAGCTTTGAGTCTGCTAATTATATAGCTTGAGTCTTATAGTGTGTAGTTTTTGGTTATCTTTGTATTAATGGCTTTTCTATCAAATGATCTTGCCAAGAGTTGTGTCCCTGAATTCCTACCTATAAGTCTTCTAGTTTAAGTATCTATCTGGGAGAAGCCAGACATCTATATCACTAAACAATACAACAACACAAAATGCTCAAACACAAAAGCCACAGAGGCAAAAAGAAAAGTCAAAAGCCAATTCACCAAATTTGGCCACAGATCTCAGTGGTGAGTACACTGCCTGATCGTGGTTCTCCAATGTTTTAGACTAGGGTCCATCACAGCTTACCAGGGGCTGACAGAGATTAAACCTGAAATCTTTTGCATGCAAAATGAATGCTCCACCACCACTCTGTTATAATCCTTTTCTATGTTGTTCAAATATGCTTTCAAAAGACTCTCCCAAAGAAAATAAATTCTACCATACGGAATCCTAAGTATTTCACTTTCATCTGCCCTTTACTTACTGAGTATACCCAAAAGCTCACTCAGGGTATGGAGGAGGAAGCAGCATTCTTGAAAAAGTATGTAGGAACCAATTAAGATCCCACCATATGGATGAATTCCTCCTAAACTTCTCCAGCACAATTTATTATTATTAAACAGATTTATATCCTGCTTTTCCTCCAGGAGCTCAAGGCAATGTGCAAAGCATTTCTTCCACCATTTTTCCCTTGCAATAGGTTGGGCAGAGGAGTAGTGACTTATCCAGAAGCAACCAGTGATCTAAACTAATCAGAGAGTACCAACCGGATAGCAGAACATGCAATAACGTTACTTAGAAAACATTGTCAACTTCCATAGAAAGCAGCGCTTACACTAGTTTATATTTAACACTGAAAAGCCAGAATATATTATTTATTATTCACAAAGCAAATCTGTCAGATTTCTCCTGAACCTCCATAGGAAAAAAAATCATAAATAATAAAATAAATAAATAAACCCAGCCACAGCATTGGAGACAGAAGGGAGGGGGTGAAAGCGAAAAAGAACAGAGAAATGTGAAAAACAGAAATAAATCAGATGGAGACAGACTGTGAAATACAGGTCCTTTTTTGAAATAAAGTCAATGAACAAAAGCATGCATTACCTACCCTTACCTCCCTAGTCTTCAGTGCTTTTTTAGATACCTGGTTAAATGAAATTTGAGTGAACAGGTTTATACTATATACATAAGGGAGGATAAATGTTTTATGATGTAAATGAAGGAGATGTAGTTATTTCAGTACCATTTTGCCCCGTTACAGGATTTTACATGGACTATTACAAAATATATAGCTATTTGCAGATTAAGAACAATGCAGAAAAATTGCTGCAACCTTAGTCTTGCTGGTTAGAAGTAGCATTATCTTTTTGTTAGTGGTACTGTCATAACAGAATGTATTTATTTAATTCAATTTAGGCTCTGCCTGACTCCAAACTGACTCTGGGTGGCCCACAATATAAATAAACCATAAAAAACACAATACAAAACAAAATGGGTTCTGGTCACTCTATATAAACATAGATAAAATCACATCCATCTCAACCCAAGGCCAACTGATTTAGCAACAAAAGAAAACAATAATACTTTTTTCCATACATAAAATAACAGAAACTAATAATAATTTTCAATAATCATTTGAGTACATGGCTTCAACACTGAAACATTACAGCTGTTTTTAAACTTTCCTAAAAGTATGTAACTGAATCTATTTTTGTTAAAGCAACACAGATCATCCTCAACAATCCTATGAAGTCATCTGGCTATTGCCAGTAATAAAGAGTAACTGGAAGGTGCCTCTATATCTGGCTTTGAGTGATAAAAAATCACAACACTGCATGTGATAGTCTTCAACTTCTCTGGATGAGCTCTCAAGTGCCAAACGTGCAATCATCAAATAATGCACATGTATGTATCTAAACATCCAGAGAAACTGAACAGCTCAGTTCTGGAGCATCAGGGAGACTATTAATTGGACAAGTGTTAATTACATCATCATCACAGAGCTCTAATCATCCTGTAAGAAAGGAAGCTGGTGATGGAGAACCTAGTAGTTTTCTGGCTAGAAAGAACCCTTACGTCAACATCAATCAGGTGCTTTCTGAAGCCTTCAAGAGAATGGCTATACATTTATTGACTTGGAAAAGCAGAAGAAAAAAGCCTAGAATTTAAACCTAGAGCATACACAGACTTGGTTTCCACATATGGCAGTGGAACATCTTCTGTGTATATATAGACTTCATATCTGGCTGCAATAAAGAATAATCCAACCACACTGTGTCTGAGAACCTTCTGCTGAGAAATCTAATTCCTAAATAAGGGGTTAAGTGTCTGGAGAGCTGAGATTTAACAGTAAAGCCTGGTGTGCAGCCTGACAAATCTACCAGATTTACCGTTTCATGCCAGCAATTCATCATCTAGAAAATTTAGACCATGGTCCCAGAAAGAAAATCTCTCCATCTGCAATATTCTTTCACTTTCTAGTTCTCTTACATGGACTGGAAGGATGGATAAGCAGAACACCTTAAGCCCACAGGTTCTTAAGCTTCCTTCCTTCCCTCCTTCCTTCCTAGATTTTCAAAGTTCAAAGCTGCTCTTTGTGGTATCATCTGTCCCCACACAGATTATAAGAAAAGGATAATTGTCAGAAAGCTTGACAAGCTTTCAAAGTTGTTCTGTCACATCCCTGATCCTTGCCCGACTGGAAGAAGATTTTACAAGTTTATGAGTATAATCTGCAGATATTTTCTAGTTCCTCATAGTAGTGAGCCACTAAGTACCAGAACTCTCTCTTTTTTTCTCTTCTTTTTATACAAATTTCCTCAGGCCTTCAGGGATTCACCACTGTGTATGTAGTGTCTTCTGCTAAAGACTCAGGGCCTATTTCTGGTAGGAGAGCTTGAAAGTTGTTTCTCAATTCCAGTGGAACAGAATTCTCAATAAGTAGAGAACAAATAGATCTGGACAAAGGTAACTCATTTTCCCTAGCAGAGATGAACATAATTCTATATTCTGAAACCAACCAGGTTTCCTAACTGTTTCCTAACTATTCAGGAACCTTCCAAGAGACCAACATCTTCTGCAGGACTCAGCAAGTAACATAGTTTTAAAAACACCTGGGTGAAGGCTGACCATACCTGATATAGAAACAGGAAGGTTTTCTGTGATAACTGGTATCACCTGCTTTGTATCAATCAACTGAAGCCAGAGAGTTTAATTTTCCTTATAACTTTTTATAATTTATATTTCTGCATTAAGTCTAATTCTCTGAAATTCAAACCTTGTCACATGTGCACTTGTCCAGTTTGAATGTTCGTATACAGGTGCAAAAATTTGACTGAAAGCATTTAAGGATTTTAAAGATAAACAGTTGAATGCACCCTATTCTGCAAAAAGCCGGTGTAATGATGAACAATCTTTAATTGAAATACTGAAAACCATTATGTGTACTGTACTTAAAGTCATTACTTCTGTACATCTAACTGTGCGGAGGATTGCAGCTTCAATTTGAATACAAAGGGACAGAAGCATAGCAGGAATAAATAGATAATAATTTAAATCTTCCAAATGTCGTTTAACAAAACTCAGTTCATATCAATGAATTCTACAAGAGGTATGTGTGTGTGTGTGTAATGGTGGAAGCAGTTGGCACAAATATCTGAATAAATAAGAACATACTAATATTGAAAGATGCAAGACTTTCCATGGTTTATTTTCAGATAGAAGGTTTAAATATATTGGAAACAGATTTCTGCAGTGACTGACCACTTCTGCCCCACATTCCATGCAATCCTTATGACAGACAGACTGCCTGCTTCACATTAATTCACTTCACACTATTTCTATCGATCCACAGTCAGTTCCCCAGTCTCTCTGCACACACTGCCTGTCTGGCTGCCTACATCCACATCAGCACATATACACAAAGGCCACAGAAAGATAACCTTTTGCTTTCCATTAAAGACACAGTAGCCATTTTTTTTTCTATCTGCAGCAGCATCAGACATATAAATATACCGGAGTTTCTAT